AGGGGAATTACATAAGCACGTGTAGTCGTGATAAGAGGTAGGAACGCCAGGAGGAGGCGGCCTGCTTGTGCACCGGTTTCTTCATCCGTTGCATCCATAGCATGAGATCATCCACGATTCGCCTGATGGTGAGGATACTGTGGTGATTTTGTTGCTTGAAGGTCATAGCGTTTCTGGAATCCCAAATCTTCCATAGGATGATGAGGAGGACGGAGTGCCAGATTAACGCATCTACCTGTGTAGGTAGGCGGCAGTCCCAGAGTCCATCAATGGTACTCGAAGGAGAGAGGCCGATCCGTTGCCAAATACGTTGTGAAAGCGGACAGTCTAGGAATATGTGTGAGCTGGGTTCACCATCATATCCGCAGCGCGGGCATACTGAGTCGGTGACGATATGCTTGCGTTGAAGGTTGCTTTTTGAGTTGAGTCGATCCCGAAACAGGAGCCATGCAAAGATCTTCACGCGATTTGGAACGCGTGAAGACCAGATGGCAACGGTATGCACGTCGTCGTCGTCATCGTGGGAGCCCATGGTTAGCGCATATGCTACCCTCGTGGAGAAGCACATGCCACCGTTGAGGTAGCGCTCGTCCGGTCCTGTCGACAACCGAAAATCCTGCAAGAGAGACAACAAAGCGCACAACTCGGTAGCAGCATCAGATGTTAGGCGGTTCCGTAGGATTGTTTCCAAACCGTGATTCAGGACAGCAGCCACACGAGCTAGTGGTATAGTGGTGTGTAAATATAGGCAGGGGAATAAAGTAGCAAGGGGTTGGTTGTGTATCCAAGTATCAAGCCAGAAGTACGTATTAGTGCCAGAGTTTGTGAGTACAAAAGAGATGGCATGGAGTGCTAGCAGCTGTTGATTTATTGTTCGGCAAATAAAGGAGTGGCTATTTTGTGGAGCAATGAGGGCATCTGGGTGTTGTAAGGCGATCCAGTCTAACCAAGGTGTTGTGTCTGGTAAGAGAGCTTTTACAGCAAATTTCATAAGTAGGCATTTGTTTTGCTGATGAAGATTTTTTAGGCCTAGACCACCACAGTTCTTTGGTTTACACACATTTTTCCAGGCAACTAAGCATTGAGCACCAGTGCAAGTTTCCTCCGCAGCCCAAAAGAAGGCTCGTCGAATAGAGTCTAGGATTTTTAGAACACTCTTGGGAATGGGGAAGACTGACATGAAGTAGACTAGGAGGGAGTCGAGGAAAGCCGATAATAGGATGAGCCTATCCCCTTTGGAGAGGATTTTTGCCCGCCAACCCGTCAAGAATTTACGGCAACGTTCGATGATCGGTAGGAAGGCATTTGTAGGTAGTCATGTGGGTGTTAGGGGAAGGCCTAGGTAGATCTGCGGAAAGCTTGAGGTTGGGCATTGCAAGGTGGAGGTAATGGAGTCTCCCATGGCAATGCTGACGTGCATGGGTACGAATGTTGTTTTTGTGAAGTTGATAGTGAGGCCAGTGGCCATGGCGAAATCGTGAAGGATGTTTTTTAACTGCTGAGCAGCGGGATTGGATGCCTTGGCGATGATGAGGGTGTCGTCAGCATATTGTAAGACGGTTGGCGGGAGATGTGAGAACAGGGGGTGACTGAGGTGAGCTAGGTCGCAGTCTTGCTGGATCATTTGTTGTAGGAGATCAGCAACGATGATGAAGAGGTAGGGCGAGATAGGGTCACCCTGCCTGAGCCCATTTTTGCAATTTATCCAGTTTCCGGGGATCCCATTCAACATCACGGCAGTTTTCCCGGTTGCTAGGAGGTCATGAACCCATGATGACAATTTTGGCCGGAAGCCGCGGCAGTGTAAGATGGAAGCAAGAGAGTCCCAAAAGAGGGAGTCAAAGGCTTTGCTAAAGTCCAATTTAATGACCATGGTTGGGGCTTTTCTGGTATGGCATGCGCCTATGAGGTCCACAGCGAAGATAAAGTTTTCAGCTATGCTACGCCCTGGGATGAAACCAGTTTGGTTGCCATGGACAAGCAGTGGTATTATTGGTTTTAGTCTGTTGGTAAGCACTTTTGCAACGGCTTTGATGGGACAATTTTGGAGGGAGATCGGGCGGTTTGGTTGCCACTAAAACCAAGATTGACCATATCGTTCGAAGTGAAAAAGATTTACACTATGATCTAGCCATTACTTGATTTGAAGTTTTCAAGTGCTAGATGTAGGAGGAGGCAGTAGTGGCTGCAATCTTGGTGCTAAATGACACATACTGTCCTCACCTGATTTCTAAATAGAAAAAACCCGAAGACCAAATACTCATTTAAACACTGTTTGATTCAGTGCTTCATGAGCATTTTATCTATCATTTTTTAAAAAGTTTGAGTTATCAGGTCTAAAATGGTTCCTCCCCTTTTGTGGTTGCAGTTTTACTGATCTGGACACACCACTTTTATTTGCAGTGCTAAAGAAAAAAAAGCGTCTATTGCTTGACCCAATAATATACTATTGATAACAGATATATTTTTTGGACATACCACTTTTCTGGACTTATTTTGAAAAGTTTATGTAGCTCTTCGATCCAGGTTGATAACTTACTTATCCATCCATCGATCCTAATACTTACAAGAGTCATGGGAGGTGAAAATGTCCCGTTTGTGCTCACGTTATCAATATCACCGTCACGATGTCCCTTTTTTTGAGTGAAACACAACAGTATTAGTTTTATTGGTTCAATGCTAAATGACAAAGAGCATAGAGATTCATGTAGCTTTCCAGTTACTTGAAGAAAATTGTGGAGCAAATGAGCTTCATTGCCAAGGATAACCACGTCTGTTTCCTCAACTACTGCAACCGCCCAACTTTGGCTAGTTCATGCTCATCAACCTTCTAGGAAACTTCAATATGTTATAGTATCTACATTGTTTGTTATCGTCACTATTCCATGAGGGGGATGAACAACCGGAAGTGACTCATATGGCCCGGAGTGATCTGGCTCTTGGAGCATACCATGGCTTTTGTAGGGAATGATCGTATCTTGGCTTTCCTGATGTCAAATGTCTCGAGGTACCTGAGATTATCAATCTCCTTGGGGAGCTCATTAAGTTCTGTGCTCCTTAGTCTGAGCCACTTGGGATGAAACATATTATCTTGATGTTCTGCTTCTTCTTCAATTTGTTGTGGCCTTGTAGGTCCAACATTTTGGCCAATCGTAATTGAGAATATGTTACCGTGATAAGGAGCCTTGATACTAGCATGGTGCTTCTGAAGTCACCACTCTCAAGCTGCATGTGTTGGAAACTTGGAACATGTGGTTTGTTGATTTTTGGGGAGTTGTTGGAGTTGAATTCCGTTGTGAATGGAAAGGCAGTGTGCAAATTCAAGTTGCAGCATGTGTCATCTTATCAATGAAGGATAAAACATGAGGATGTACCTTGCAAAACTTGAGTTTGCCTTCACGACAAATTTTATTGGGAAGAATAAGGCCTCGAGCAACAAGCACACTGGATCCATGCTCGGCATGACCCAATCAAGTGATCTCATGTCTTTCGATGATCCTGTTTTCAGCAAACCATCAAATGAATAAGCTTGTTTTGCTAAAAGATTGAATCTTAGGGGAAGATGCATAAGTACAAATGTTGACATTGAGTGCATGCGAGGTCATACCCGAATCGGGTAGAGCAAAGGTGTGCTCGCACTAAGAAGAAAGAATACCACATCGCGAGTCTAGGG